ATATTACTGTATTTCGATCACAGATATAATTTTTACTAGTTAAAATTGTTAAAAGATAAAAATTAATATGATTTATATTAATGTGCAAGCTTATTTATATTACAGTATCATATTTATCAACAGCGCTTTAACGATTATTAAAATACATAACCAAAAAAGTTTACATACAGTATTTCATAAATAAAACACTGCTATTTCATTTTCCGATTTCAAATTTAGAATAAAAATATGATTTTTTAAACCCCTACTTATTTTTGAATAGTGATGGGACCTGCGAGTTTTTAGTTAATAATAAAAAAATTAATAATTAGTTAATAATATTTAATAATATTTAACGTTAATAATTTTGGTAACTGCTAAAAACCAGGGATGGTAAATGACCTGAAATGACCCAAATGACTCAAATGACAAATGACCGGTCATTGGGTCATTTCACAATGACCCATAGAAGGTCATTTAACATTTGTCAACTTATAATCTAATGCTTTTTAGCCAATCAAAATTGATTATTAGACAAAAAGTAATTTTTACAGTGCGCAACACTTAAAGACTACATTGTCCCATCCTATTTGGGGTCGTCAATAATTGCTATATAGTAAAGTTAAAATTATACTATGTAAATCGATACTGTAACCGAATTCTCGATATAAAACTTCGGATGACCATGGTCAACCGAATTTTCGATCGAAAATTCGGATGACCATGTCATATAAAGTCTAATACATGGTTATCCGAATTTTCGATCATCCGATGTTTTGTACAAATTTATATAAAACTTCGGATGATCGAAAATTCGGATGACATGTCATATAAAGTCTAATACATGGTTATCCGAATTTTCGATCATCCGATGTTTTGTACAAATTTATATAAAACTTCGGATGATCGAAAATTCGGATGACCATGTTATATAAAGTCTATATTTGATTGTAAAAAAAACAAAGCTTAATAAAGCTTGGAACCGGTTATCGTAATCGAATTTATACCAGCCTAAACCGGTTATAAATCATAACCTGGCTACAGTAGAGATGCATGTCAGCAAAATAACAGTAATACATGTGCCGATACATATCTTACTGTTAGTTATCTGATATATTACTGATATCGATATGCTGCGTGTAATTTTCAGTTAGTGTATTAAATTTAAATTTTATTTTATGGATGAATCTATTTGTAACAACATGTTACATATTGATATACATGTGTGTCTAAATTATTTTTGAAAAAAAGTATTTTCGGCAAACATTTCGGCATTGCTAAATTTTTTATATGAAACCCTCCGAAATAAATATACTATATGATGTATTTTGATGAAAAGATTTCAAAAAATTTCGGCAATAATTTCGACATATATGAAAATTAATTTCGGCACTATATAAGACTAATTTCGGCTGCCTAAATGCCGTAATTACTTTTTTATTAAGATGGGCAATTTAGGCACACATGTATACATATTGAGATGTCCTAAATCGGCGAGTCTGTCACTGATCGAAGGTCGACTTCGTGTAACGGTCGGACGGCTTTCGGTCGAAAAAGGCGTATAGATTTGGCGAGCGAGTTCGATTCGGGTCGGGTTTATCCAAGATAGTCTTCACTACGTCGAGACTATCACTCTAATATCACAAGAATTGCAGTATTCCACACTACTTCGGGATTACTGGACAACACGGGTTGGGATTTATTACTTTTACAGGTTAGGTTTATTCTTTAACAACGGTTCTCTACAGTCACTCGTAGAAGAACCCTTAATTCGATATATTTGTTATGTAATGGAATCCACTTTTTTTAATTACGCTAACGTACATTATATTTATAGGAAAATTATTATTTGTTTTTAGGACGCCGATATCCTATATATCCATTATCGCACTTATAATGATTCTAACACGGTTAACCCAAATACAGCGAGAGATCTTCCTAGCCGGAGCACCAACCTGGAGTACAACCCGGAGTGTTAATTTGAAATATAATCCGGGTTGGGTTGGAGCAAGGCTTGCTCCATCTGATTTTAACACAACCCACACCACTCCATTAACAACCCTTTCGCCGGCGGTGACAGTCACCGGCCAATCAGATCGTGTAACGTTATGATCAAAACAAAAACAATGCGTTGAAACTTATTGACATTAGGGTCGGGTTAGAGCCACAGTAGAGCATAGCATATAGTAAAATTTGGCAAGGAATTTTTTTGTTAGAAAGCAAATGGTGGTTTCATAGATTTTTAAAAAATCGAAAATTTTGCATTTTTCACGTTACACGTGATCCTGTGATCTAATTGGACAATCACACTCCGGTGACTGTCACCGCCGGCGACAAATAGATTCACTAAAAAATTTTTAACTGTACCTATTATATATATTATTTATACGTAACGACTAACCCTAACAGCTAACCTAGAAAAAATAAAAAAATAAAATTAATATATCAATATAATTGGCTAATATTAAGGGTGTTACATGTAGTTACAAATACATTTTTTCTTATTTTATTAATAGCTTGCTAAGTATTAAACTAAACCAAATAAATTTTAAATATAATTCAATGAATGACAGATTATATATGCTGTAAATCCTTTCAATAATTTCAACATTTTAATAATTTTATAATTATAATATGCTATTCAATTTAGTTTAACTAATTTTTGACATAATTTAAATTAATTTTTACCATATTGATATCGATATCCGCCGATTTGATTTTTTTTCGATAAAGTTACACGAACTATCACTAAGTTAAGTGAAATAACGAGCGAAATACTCAACAAAGGAACTTTATTTTAGTCTCATATGAGATAAATAAGAAATAAATTTAAGTAAAACAGCTATGCTAAGCTGTAAAAGAAAGTGCTATCACTATTTTTTGAAACGTTTGGGTAGTGAACGATCGGTTCTGTCGAACGATCGGTTGAATAATGGGTAAGGATGAATTCGGAGAATTTTCAGGAAAACGGCACTTTAAACTTACTTTAACTTATAATTAAATATGAAGATATTACAATCTTTTATATACTTCATTGTGGATTCAAGTAAATTTAAAAGATCGTTTTTATAAGAACCCACTTTCTATATGTAATTCTTTATGATTGGCTGATTTTGGGGTCAAACAAAATCTGCCCATATGCTATTAAAAAACTAATTTATTAATTTTAGCACCAACAATTTCAACAAAACTTCTTATTAAAAGGGTAATTTCACCATCTATACTTGAAATAATGCGCATTTCATGAATATGTCTGTGGATTTATAAAATAAAAAATAATCAAACTTAACGTTAAAAAATCAACTCTATCTCAAAATAACGCACGTGAAATAAAGCGCGGGTACTCAAAATAGCGGTTTACGGTAGATGGATTTTATAATATCATAAAGAAAAAATTAAATATCAATGTTTTCCCTGTTCAAAAATTCTCGAGCTTTTACATGGTCATTCAAAGCTGCCAGCCTTAAATAACTTAACCCAATTTCTTGATCAGCTTCTACAATGTTTCCCTTTAAATATAATTTACCTAAATGATACTCTGCTTCCTCATTTCCTTGATCGGCTGATAATTTCAAATATTTTAAAAATTCCTTTTGTTTTTCTGGATTCTTCATATCCTTAATTAAGATAAATGCATAATTTAATTGAGCATCCGCAATACCATAATCAGCGGCTTCTTTAAAAAGTTTTTTAGCTTCTTCGAGGTTTTCATCAATAACATAGCCCTTAGATAAATAATAACCTTTTCAGAATTTTGCCATATAATTTTCTAGATCAGCATTTGCAACAAAACATCGCCAAGCTTTTTGCACACTTTCTTCATCCCCTTTATAATGAAGTTCAATTCCTTCTTTAAGAGGCATGATCGTCTCAAATGCATTATCAAATTCTAATTCTTCGAATTCAATGTCTGGTGTCATCGTTTTAGTGCAAATGCTACTCATTCCGTCTAAATCTATGCTTTTGTCTGGAAGGAGATCATAAGAATAGCCGGCCTTAACGTATTTTGCTTTCAATTCTGATAATTCTAAAAATAATGCTGAAATACTGATTCGCATTTGTGGCTCATTGTCCCATGCTTAATGAAAAAAAAAAGCATAAAATAAGGGTAAATAATGTATTAATGCTAATTGATAGCACAAATTAATAAATTGTACTTACTTTTTTTAATAATTCTCGCAAATTCTTTTTGGATTTCTTTATCTTTCCATTACCTATTGTCAAATTTTCTCTTTTACCATTGAGGATGTGTTTTCTTATGTCTTCGGGTTTGCGGTTTTTGTAGAGCATTTTTTCATAACAAAGCTCCCATAAAAGCATTCCAAAACTATCAATATTTTCATAAAGTATTAATAAATACGCATTTATATTAAAGTAAAATTTAAAAGAAATGATATTTTGGACCTAAATAGTTCACATTTATGCGTGTAGCCATGACCTAACATTTTTTCAGGGGCTAGTCAATTATAAATTTATGATATTTTAGAGATTTGAGACGTTTCTTCAATAATACGACGAGCATATTCAAAATTTGTAAGCTTTGGTTCCAAGTTTTTTGTTATCTAATGACAATTTAAGATTCTAATTGTGTCTAATTATGTGCAAAGGAGGCAATAAAACATCTACCTACCATTATATTTTCACATCTTATATCATGATGAAAAATCGCTACTTTCTGTAAAAATGCAACGCCTCAACAAATATCAAGCGCTAAAAGTATTTTATTATACCATGGAATATCATTCTTTTTATAAACTTCTTTAAGATTTCCCAACTCGGCCCATTCAAAAACTATAATATTTTTGTTATCAATGTAAGAAAGACCATAAAATTTGAGAATATTCGGTCTATTGCTTAATTTTTCCAGGATCACTAATTGTGATAGAATTCTTTTAGAGTTTCGTGAATCTTCCTTTGGAAGGGTGACAGGTTTACAGGCAACATCTTCGTATTCTCCAAGCACTTTTTTAACAATTACACCTCTAATGTCATCTTTCTGTCCTGGAAAAGGATCTTTTAACTCATTTGATACAATTTGCCATGTTCGAATTTCATTTATTATTGACGTATTGTCATTAGCTTTATTTGACATTTGTTTCTTCATAATCAACAACTCTTCATGTAACATATTTAATTGTTTGCTATTTCACTCTTCAAATTCAAAAAAGAACTAAATATATAAATAATCTTTAGTTGCATAATAAATAGATAACAGAGTGATTAATTATTATTATAATTAAATTGTTTGAATACCTTTTTCATTTCATCAAGATTATCTTTCAGATTTTTCTGGTCATTTATCCTTTGCTCATCACTCGATATGGCCATTGTAAAATTTAAATCTTTTATCACTCTATCGAAGTCATTTGTTAATTGTGTGAATTTTTCCGAAACTAAGTTTGCTTTAAAAATTTTTTCAAATCCTTGAAGTTGTGTAACATCTATGGCAAAATCTTTAATTTGTTGCAATACCATCTCGAACCTAAGAAAAGCATGATAATATTCTTTTTTGCGAAAATTTTCTTCATTTTCTTGCTTTTTTTTGTTTAATGATTTAAGCGCAAGTTCAGCACTTTGCGCACGATCTAATAATGCGCTACAAATTTTTTTATTGCATTGAGCTGTATTATAAAATTTAATAATATCAGAAATAAGGTCAGTTATTCCTGATATCAAGGAACCAAAAGGTGTTACATTGGCGGCCACATTGATAACTTTGAGAGCTTCTTGCGTAATATCTAAACCCGAATATTCAATCTGTGACATTATGAATAAATTTCGAAGTCCTCCTTTTATAGCGATAACGATAATTTTTGACTAAAATCTAAATTAGAATTAGTATATTTTTCCGTTGCAGTTAAAAAAGTTTAAATAGCATATAATAGTGATACATACTGTATGTATATAATTTTGGTAACAGGCAATGCATGTCTTGGTAACACTTATCATTATATCGTTATCATTATAGATTGATACAGTAAAAGAAATACATTTTTGTTAGATTTATTAGCGTTAGGTCATATGAAAAACGAAGCTACAAAACAAGAAAATTGCTGCATTATTTTAACATGACCGTTGAAGCAATGTATTATTTAGGGAATATTTATTATGAAGGTGAAAAAAATGAGGAACTTGGCTTAGTGTATTTAAAATTGGCAGCAAATAAAGAATATGAAAAAGCGATTAAGTTATTATTTCATTCTTTAAATATTTTAACAAATAAATTTATTTATACTATATCTATAAATAATATTATCTTATATTGAGCAAGAATAATATTTTATTTTTTTAAATATTTTCATAAATAGGTGTATACTGTATTTATAAATAAAACTATATTATCCATATTAAAATTCTCTTAAAAATTATCTATTTTAACATAGCGATAGCGATAGCGATAGTATTCGAATGGACGAATTTGCCAAATGTGATGATTATGAAATTTACGCTGATTGGTCGATTTACTCTCATACAATATTAAAATTTGGGGTTTACATTAAACCTTTTTTTTAAAAACATAATGTAGTTTGATATTTTACGTTTATGTTCAACAAGGCTTTGCTTCCTTGATTCAATTCTAATCCAGATCAGATCCTAAAACATCAGAACTTTTATTAGTTATGGGTAAACCATACAAAAATACATAATA